CCTCGCTCCCGTGAGCTGTCCTGGTCTGACCCTGTGCTTATAGGCCCCTGCCTAAAGGTACTGAACTACAACTCCAAACGCCTGTAACAAAGTCTGTTTCCTTCTCTTTTTGTGGTACGATATTTGAAGTTCTTTGACAAACTACTCTGTAAGAACTTACCTCCATTTAATCTGTCATTGCATGTATTTGTCATAAAACACTGACTGTGGGCTGTTCAGTGAGAAAGATTACCCTGTGCAGAAGTTGAACTACTGCTTGCTTGGAATTTTAGTTGCCCACTCATAATAATCTACATCAGTAGATCAAAAATCCACTCAAATTAATCTAAATCAGCAGTAGTGATAAAAACAATGGAGGCTATTATCTCAAAGTAAATTATGCCTTATCTCTTCAGGTAGTATTAGTATCTCAAGGTTATGATTCATGACTTAAAATGTGTTAGTAATAATGACTACAAAAGGTTTATGCCTACAAGCTACTGGAAGTCCCATATGCAGCAGGGCTCTTATAGGGGAAATTCAACCCCTACTTGGAAATGTCTGCAATTCCATGAAGCAGTGGAAAAGGCACAGGAGCTATAAACAGCACTTTTGTGAATAGTTTGGTTTGCATGAATTTTAATTAGAGCACATGAGGCTGGGATTTAGAAGTGAAAAACGCAGCAAGGAGGTGAGACATGGAAAAGGTTTTGCTCAGCCTTTCACTCCTCAGTCACAGAAGCTGAACTGTACAGACTGTGAAGAGTGGTGCAGCATAAGAGGCAAAGCAGATGTTGAGATTTCATCAAGGCTCTGTGACCTTGCCAGGTTTACTTTTTGGTCAGTGACCATTTCACAATAAACCAGGAAGCTTTGGGGTTGCCAGTGCAGCAGCTGACTGCAGAATTGCCAGGGTCACAAGTGTTTCACCCAGCTGCACTCCAAACACCACATATAACATTTCTGACAGCGTTCCCTTCTGGTTGGAGTTCAAATATTAGCACTGCTATCCATCATTGTGCTAAAGACCTCCTCATCCATGGGAAGGACCCTGCCAAAAGGAGTGTGGCAGCAGGAGCACTAGAGGAGTGACAGCACATCAGGAGTTCAGGCAGGTTTACAGCACTACAAACATACATAGGTTTGTAAATGGTCACGAATTTCAGTGGGGCAATGAAACAGAAGATCCTATGTTTATAAACTAAACATTCCAGAGCAGTTAAAAAACAAGGTTTAAACAACAACAACAATATATTAAATAGGAAAGCTTTGGACAATTTAATTGTCCAAGTGTACTGGAGAGCAAAGTGTCTTTCCTGTTTAATCACTGTGTTTAATTAGTCTGGCTTAAGCAGTCTGTGTAACAAATCCAGCCAAATTAGGCTTCAGCAAGCCAACAGTTTTTGTATCTGACATTCTCCATTCCAGAGACAGTGAGATCCAGTATCTACTGTCTTCAGCTGCACAAAGCTTAAACAAAAATCCTGGAATGTTCATTTACATGTGAACCAAAGCCAGGACTGCATCCTTAGAATGGGAAAGGTGAGATCCAGGCAGGAGAACTGCAGGAGTGGAGAACACATAGACAAGCGACCCGGCCCAGGTACAGTGTAAAGTAGCACAGAAATGCAACTTGAGTCAAACAGAACAGTTCACAACTAGCAAACATATTGCTGTAAAATAGTCCAAACTGAATTTACTGATTCATGAAGTTACAATCACTGAAATTTGCTAGTTACCCTCTTAATAGCATCAGGAACACCAAAGAATCAGAGAATCCTCTCCTGTGCTGAGACACATTCCACTATATACTCTATCATCCTATTTTCAAGAGACTCTTGATTTTGAAACTTCCTTTGGCAATCCTAGTGCTCCCTGCAATTTACTGTTAGAAGTTCTGAGTAAGAGCAATTAAGTTTCTGTTCAGTTCTGTCTTACCTTTTACATTAAGAAGTTACACACAGGCATCCTTTGTAGCATTAATGAATTCGGTGACTAACATGCAATGCTGAGTATCAGGAACTGACCAAGTTCCATTTGTTTCTATCTGTTTTTTCATCTATGGAATTTATCTGGTTAAGCAGGTTCTCTTTCTTCCTTCAGCACTTCTAGCTGTTACATCCACTAGCCCAGGTTTGGAGGGTCCTTACATACTGTACTTACACAGAAGCTGTTCAGTTTGGGAAGCAAGATCTTGTCGCAAACAGCTTTTCCCTCAAAAAAGTACCACTATGGTACCTTTTGATGTCATTTTCACCATGCTCACTAGGTACACAAATTTGTAAAAAAAAAAAAAAATCCCCAACACTACTATGAAACGAAAAGCAGTTTCTAAGCAAGTGCTATTTTTAGAAAAGCAGTAAAGTTGGCCTCAGTAGTTTTAAGTTATTTCAAGAAACTAAATATAAGACACTTAAAATTGCTTTCCCTGGCAGCTCTGGCCTTTCTTTCAGTTTCAGCCCTTGATTACTAAAACTAAACAGTGGCTGCAAATAAATCAATTTCTCATGTAATTTTGCAAACTACATCTCAGTCTCACTGGTTTAAGGCTCTTCCTTGAACAGATGATACAATCAGTAATCACTACAACACTACTTCGAGGCTGATAACCAACTCATATAAATGTACACAGGCATTGAGAGTGAAAAGAGGTTTAGTTTTACTTCAGGTGATTCATATATTGTAAAATTCATCCTTTTAACAAGGGACAATATGGTGTCAGAAATCAACGTTCCAGCTATTTTGTCCAAACAATTACTTCATTCTGTTTTTTTCTATATTTTTCTGGTATACATTCCAGCCAAGAGCCATCTGATGTCTCCCTCTCTGGGGTATGAAATAGAAAACACTAAAGGTGTACCTTTATTGTGGAATTTCCCAGAGCTGCCTTGTAGCCGTCCCCTCTACCCCTTAAGGTTCATGGGCCTCACTTCATTTCACTGTCAGCACATGGAGGAGCAGGATGCACCTGCAATCCTGGAGCACATGACACTTCCTTGAGCTGAAGATTCCAAGCTGGCACTGTTCCCAGAGAACATTTCCCATAACAACTGGCTGTTGTTTTCCAGATCAGTTTACTAACAGCTAGATTCCCCGACACATCCAGAAATGCTACTCTGGAGTGACCTGAAACGATTTGTGCACTGGGATGGTGGGGAGGAGAAATTGTCTGCATATTCTAGAAATTAATAAAGAAATTGGAGTGGAAAATATCCAAAATGTATGAATAAACCTTTTCAGTAAATGAAAACCACAAGTTTATACTTGTTTGGAAGTATTAAAACACAAGTAGCTGGTAATTAGTCCATTACAGGTTTTTTTATCACAAATAACCATTCACTGAATTTGTATCACACACTGATTCTAGCTATCATGCTGACTCTTTGACTCAAAACATTTTAAAAACATTTCAAAAGTTATGCTTATATGCCAGTATTTTTAAGCTGATATCAGGTATCTGTCTCCAAGATAGATTTAGCTGTAAAAAACATCTGAGCTGTTTAAACCAGAACAGGCAAATGCTGCTTCAACAGTTTAAATCTGCTCCCAGATAGCCTTTTATAATTTCCTTGATGCTTTAGAAAAATGCCCCTTTTTTTTTTGAAAAGAAGTCAAACTACTCGAGAAGTTTATTTGAAAGCTAAATGTCTGTCAAATATGTAATGATACTTCTGGTACGAACTACTGTGTTTAGGAGTAAAAATTGTAGCTGAAGTTTCAGGAAAAATTTCAGTTTGATTATATAACATCTGATTATATAATATCTGACCAGACAGCTTCTGATTTTTTTTGGTGCTTTAAATACAGCCACTAGGTTATGCTGACAGCCATGCAAAATGAAACTGCACTTTAACCCACAGCAGTAATATCAAGATTGTGAACAGCTACAAATGCAGCATTTGCATTTTCAGTGCCATACCCACTTGAATTCAGAACCACTAAAAGACAAAGCAGCAGCTGGTTAAAAAAAGAAAACATAAGTCAAATTATAAAGCTACATAGTTTAGTACATTAAAACAAAACCAAGGACAATGGTATTTGTATAAGGTTCCAAAAATATACAGATGGCGGGGGGGGGAATAATCACTGTACACAACTCTGAGGTGGTTAAAGTGACCAGAGAGACTGAACAGTGCAAGACATGCTTTTCCAGTTACAAGCTCAAAACAGAAGTGCAAAAGAAATTAAAGCTCTGTCTGAAGTGATTTACCTTTTAGGATAAGGAAAGCTTAGAATATTGTCATCAGTGTTACAGAGAAATTTCCACCCCAACCCTGACACAGACACATAAAATAGTTTTAAGTTTTACCATAATACAGCATTTCACTCAAATGATGTCCCCAGAGCTTGGTGACTCCAGGGACAGTTTGTAGGTGTTCAGACCCAAGTGATGCACAGGCAGCCTCTCCATCCTCCAGCTTTGGCTAACAGTAAATCCCTGCCTTCCAGGCAGGGCGGGTGGCAGCCACACAGCCCGGGCTCAAACGCTTCTGTCGCTCGCCTCCCCAGAACACCTCGCTGCAAGGAAGCTGCTGTGCTGAAAGCAGAGACTGAGTTATGGCTGAGGAACAAAGAATTGCTTGATAGGTCTCTGTGCTCTCTCCCAGAGTTTGGAACAGTTTCAAGGCAAGTGCTTTTGGCAGGCTGACTAAGCTGTACATGCATCTATTCATGCAAATGTAGAATATGGCTCCCAAGACCTAGAACCAGGGTGTGTGCATGTGAAGACTGGATAGAAGGCCCTTCCATGGAAGTTTATAAAAATATATAGCCAATACTGTAGCTTAGGAAGTCAGTTTTACTCATTACAGAGAACCCCAAAAAGTATTAACTACTTTTCAGACATTCCAGACAAGGTCACTTGTAACAAAAAAGGTCAAGTTCTCAAAAACACGGTTTTAAAAGCGGATCTTTCCTTCAAGTGAACAGGACATCTGATTTTACTCTTAACCATTAAGTCAGTTAAGACAATTTATTTAAGATTTCATGTGAACATATGCATAAACACAAATAAGTTTACTTTAAAACACATCTGCACGGAAAAAAAGGGTGCACATCTGCACCTGTCAAAACATAACAGAGCAGGTCTGGTTAGTATGTAGCTATTGCAAATCTTAAAGATTCTGTGCATTAGGCCCACCCATATAGAAAGCAGGGGAAAAGTCAATGAAAGAAAATCACTGTTCAAGTCTAAGTGGTGTTCTGAAGAGCCAGCAGCCTAAGTGACGCCATGAAGCTGGTCACAGTATCCAAACAAGCAGGCCTGCATGGGCTATTAGAGCAGTGTATCCTCCTGAAGGCGCCATTTCCTCCCCAGTTATTTTCTGTTCCGAAGGCGTTTAGATTTCCTAGGACAGTCTGTGGAATCCACCGCCTTCCTCCGTTTCCTGGGAGATTGTTCATTTGAGCCGGAACCTGAAGAATTCCCTACTGTGCTCTCCATCACCTCTCGCAGCTTGCGCTCCAGCTCGGCCAAGCGGGCGTTCTGTTCCCCAATGATTTGGGTCTGCTCAAGCAGTTTCTGGTCTTGATCCTGGAGCTGCTTCTGCTGCTCCTGCACTTTGACGCGCAGCTCCGAGATCTCCCGCTTTAGCGCCGTCAGGCCCGTGCCGTTGGCTTTCACCTGCTGCTGCAGCTTGGTGACTTCCTGCCTGGAAGGGCTTTGCTTGGAGAACAGCTGCATTGTTGTCAGCGCTGCAGAAGGCCCTGGAACTTCAGAGAGAACTGTGATTAATACTCTGCAACTTATGGGTAGAAACGGTGTCCCAGTGTTCATATTTTGCTTATCCCTACTTCCCACACATGAATCTGAATACCCATTGCAAGTCATGTGAACAGGCAAGCAGATTTACAGCCACTTAAGTGTCTAACAAGAACACGTCGTAATCTCAGAGCACAACCAGTTTAATTTAAAATACTTACAGCTTTTCAGTAGTCTGGAAAAGTTCCTAATTCATTTCCTGTATATGAGCCCCCCTCCTTTTGCTGTATCAAAAACTGTGTAGAACTACTGTGTTGTCACCTAGACTTAGTGTTACAGATGTTAAGACAAAATCCCACAAAACACCTCTAAATTACTTAATATGGAATAATTAAGACTGAATAAATATCTTTCATTAGACAAGCAAAATTCTACTGTCTTGGCTGCAGACAGCTAAAGTTCTACAAGTTTGTAGTTTGGAACTTAACAAGGTATTTCGGTATAACTTACATTTTAGAAGAAAGGAATTTATTTTCCATGCTTCTTTAGAATCACTCCTCCTAAGCACTAAAACCATACTGGAATCTGAGCTTGGAACTGCTGATTCTAATAAAGTTCCTGCAAATCAAGGAGACTAACAGCTACTGTATAATTTCTTTCACTTTTTCTGCCATAAAAGATATCTATCACTTTTTCTATCTATATATTCTTCTAGCAATGCTGTGCAACTAAGGTGCAACTTAAGTGCTCTACAGACAGAAAAGTCTGGAACAGTCATCCTCATTTTCCTCCTTTTTTTCCATTAGGATGCCAGCACAGCTACCATTATGTGACACTAAGGGGCTGCTATTGGAGAGGTTATGCCCTCCCCTCAACATGAGAGAGGCATTTTATGCATTACAAAACCTTGGCCTTGAAAAGTTGATTGCTATCAGCGGTAGATTTGGGCAATACTTCCTCAGCTGATAGGCTCAGTATATACTAATACATATAATTTTTAAAAAATTAACCCATATATAATTTTAAAGAAGGTATATAATTATAAAAAAGGTATATAATTATAAAAGTTAAAGTACAATTAGCAGGATATGCTAAAGGTGGCATACACACTTATGGCTAAAAGGATAGACAGGACATACAAGAAACAAAACCATCTGCAGTTAGGCGTATTGTTTTTGCTTAAGAGTATTTTTTCCCCCAATTTTTACTAAGTTATCCTTCTAGAGAGTTAAATTTCACAGTTCCTAAAATGTGAACATATCGTCTATACTGAAAATTCTACAATTTTACCAATCTTTTGCCTTTTACCATTACGATAACTTCAGCCAAGAGGCAACTACCTTAGAGTTTGGTTCACATAAGTTCTGGAAAGTCTGACAGAGTATTTGAAGGATCAGTTTAATAGGTTATTTATAGACTGTTAATTTAATTGACTTTTCACTATTACCTGTAACTATTTTGCTTGTTAGTGCATAAAATAGTAACTCCAGTAAAGTAAAAAAAAACTCATTCCAGCCCTCTATGTACTACTACAGCTTAGGCAAATTCATTTGCAACTTGTTCTAAAAATAAAAGGCATCGAGTTGTCATCTCATGTGCCAAATTTCAACCAAATGCAGTGATAGTCTCATTCATTGGTGGCACAAAAGCATTTGTTTAACACATACACACTATGCATAATTCTAATATACATTCAAGTGACTGTTCTTTTAGTGGTACAAAGGCTCCTTAAATTTCAAAGCAAATGAATTTCAGTTAGTATTCTTAAGAAACAAGTATCATCAATATTTATGTAATAAAGCTCCCATTTAAGGGGAGGGAGCTTAGAAAACATACAGTGCTGTGATTTTTTAAAGAACAACTAAATAAAACTTAACTATACGTTGGAATTAATACCTGGGGCAGTTCCTATTAGACGTCCCGATACATCTGACCCAGGCATCTTTCTTTTCAGTATTGGAACAATCTTCTCATCAAAATATTCCATAGCCATGGAGGAAATGTCCCTTAGTTCTTGAAGAACTTCATGAGCTCTCTGAGGAGCTCTTGTAGAGTTTACATATCTTAGCACTCGATAAATTTCATCTATTACCTAAAACATTTAAGAAGAATTAGGATTTTCTGATAAAGGCAAGATTATTTCAGTTTGTTCTAGGAATTCAGGCATATTCAGGGGGTTTTTACCACATAACAGTTGCACACCACTGTGTGTTTTAGTTCCAGATCAGCTTTTTGAAGTGTTGCTAATGATATTTCAGAGAAGCTATTCATTTAATGTATCACAACAGCTCTCTTCAAAGTCATGAAATAATGCTCATTGGGTGAAATTTGAAGTACAGCCATAGTTGGTTTGCAAGTTACATAATCTATACTCAGCAGAGCATGATCATTTCCTTCATGATCATTTCCTTAAAATCTGAGGCAGGTCAAGAGAGGAGTGCTGGTCTCTTAGCCAAAGCCATACAGGTATTTTGCACAGGATTAAGGATGTTTGAAGAACACACATCAGGACCTTGCAATACAGTTGCACCTTCTGTTCTGCTAAAGGAAGCTTAGCTAAAAAGTCCCAAAAGCGAGACAAGACCTAAGTTTCTCATCAAGCAACAAACAACAAATGACTGCTCCAATTTCACCCATTTTATATCCTGTTAGCAACAACATGAATATGAAACCTTGCAGCAGTGCTCTGCTATCACACAGAATGCTGAACCTCAAACCAGGATTTGCATATTCTAACACAAATTCACTTCCTGGCAGTTCTATGGTGAAATTTCCTGAGGGAAGCAAAGTAGGTGGGACGGAAACCACAGACTGTAAGTGAACACTAAGCCTTGAATCTGATTGACCAACATATTAATTAATGGGTGAACTGGTAACTGCTGAGAGAGCAGGAGTGCTAGCAATCTCACACACTAAGTAAATAACAAAAAAAAAAAATCACCACCAACTTTTCAACTTTTTACCAGTTGTATCAAAATAAAATCACAGTACTTACAAGTTGGTGCCCACAAGGAAAATCAAGCTCACCTGCCCAAGTCCTGCACACCCCTGGTCTAGGATGAGTACTACATTTCCCTCTACTCAGAACAGTAAAGCAACTTTTTTTTTTTAATATCTCATCTACCATGTAACTATCAGGGACTTAAAATTCATTTGACTTCATTATATTAATTTTTTTAAAATACATGGTATATTAAAAATGTAATGTAAATTCAAATAAGAATATAATTTTAAATTAATTAAATATCAAATAAACAAGAATGTACATAAATAGTTATTTCTTCAAGATAAGAATACATTCCACACCACAGTTTATCCTACCACTGTATGCATAAATGCCTGCATGCTTCCCCAGAATCCAAGAGATAACTTTTCTATTCATCTCACTGCAATTCAGTTCTCTGCCCACAAAAAAAGTAACACCAACATATCCAAACCCTACATGGGAAGATCAATGACTAGAGCATTAGGATAATGTTCACTGATCTCATTTAATCCCTGAGCTGTACCAGTCTTCCTCTGAGCAGGATTTTGTCAATTCCCCTGTGCACTGGTGATTTCACAGCTTATAAAACATTGGTATCTCCAATGTACATCTTGCCTACATTATTTATATTTAATGCTGGGCTGGTATTCTAAAACACCAGGACTGTTCAGTAATGCTCCCATTTAACACACTTTACATATAAAACTAATTCCACCTACTGTACAAAAAATATACCATCCACTGTGATACTGAACAGTGTTTTGACATACTGAATATCTTAATTCAATTAACCTGAAGTACTCAAACCCTTAAGAAGGTGCCTAAAATCATGACTCATGATTGACTGAGTACTTAGTATTATGTGTAAACTAAATTACTACATCTTCAGATGGCCTGATCACGTGTTTCTTTCTAAAAGGTTGTAGAAGATGAGTATATCACAAGTCAAACATCAGAATCAAGAGAGAACCTAAGGGCAAATAGAAATCTAATTTAAAATAATTAATATTTAAATACAGCCTGGTTTATTCATTTCAGACTGCCTGGTAAAACATAGTACTGGTTTGTAGGTTTATTTACAAGTGTGTATATATATATATATATACACAATATCAATTTTTCCCAGCTGTGCTAGGTTAAGTTACACAATCCTATTTTTTAAATATAGATAATTATTCACATAATATGGTCTGCATTTTACCTTTCCAGGTATGAAGCAACAAAGATTGGAATCCACATACTTCATGAAAGTCATATTTAGGAGAGAGAGTCTCGTTTCCACAGCAGCGAGGATGTCTGCATGGCGAGCTAATGAATGGTTTCTCCTTTCTGACTCCCGTCTGGAAAACAGACCACAAGGTGACACTGATTTAAAAAATTGAACTGTAACATTTGTCAAGTTCATTTCACCCCTAAAACCACTAACATTTGTCTTCACAGAAACAACAGATACTGACTGAGACCCAGCTAGTAACAGCATACTACACTTTCTTAGACAAAATTTGCTCTCTATATAATTACTATACCTTATGTGCTCCATAAATTTTGTATGTAATTGAGGACTATTTAAGAACAAGACTGCAATACTAACTAGCAGGAGACACTGAGTCAGAGTGAATATATTTATCCCACTCACTCATATGGTCGGTACTTCAATGCAATTGAAATAATAAATGTAATATATTAGTAGTGAAATTTATGTAGTGAAGAACTACTATGACATTTAGGTTGAGATAGAAACACTTTTTGGTAAAGGATTGCTGTGCTAAGTAGCATTTAGTTTTTTCACTCTGACTGGGAAATCTGATAGGACACAGCAGCACCTACATTTATTCAATGGAAGAGGAAGAACGACATTGCTTTAGTGAGAAACCAGTTCCCAGTAATGCTCACATGTCAAATCCCTCTTCCTTGTTCCCATTTAATCCTTGCCAGTGAAAAACTTTGCTCTTTTTTTCAAGCAGTATATTTGATAAATCATCAGTGAAGGCAGTTGGTCTTGAAAAGGAATGGCATTTATTCATTCCCAGGAATCCTTGTTTGATTTGCCAGAAGAGTAATACAGAACCCAGACTTCTCTGTTTGAAACACCAGACACACTTTTCACACCACAAGGTGCTTTTAGGGGAAAAAAAAAAAAAAAAAAAAAAAAAAAGGCAAATGTAACTCAAATTTTCAAGATCT